CTGCTCCATAAGCCAGACAGGGCATCAGGAGCACCTTCTTTCTGGACCCTAACATGAGCCAGCTGTGAGCCCTGACCCCTCGGCTAGGCTTTGGGTTCCTCACTGCGTATGGTGGAGGCATGACCGTATCTTTGGTCCCACGCAAGGTCTGGGACACCGTAGGGCTTCCACGACGGTGTCTCGGGGGCTAACTGCAGGGGCAGAGGATGAAGAGGGCGAGCCCGTAGGGAGGGGCTTCTGCTCTCTCCCCTGTTCAACCACTTCGACTTCTGTCAGTTTTATCTACGGTACTGGGTTTCTCATAATAATTTATTTGAGAAAAGGATTCTGTTGTCAAAAAAAAAAAAAAAAGTTTGGGCCCTTTCAGCTCTGAAATCTCTTGATTTGAGTCTGTCTGGTAGCAGAGAGGAGCCCCGTGGCACAGTGGTTAAGAGCTCGGCTGCCAACCAAAAGGTCAGCCACTCCTTGGCAACTCTATGGGCTGCTCTACTCTGTCCTGTTGGGTTGCTGGGAGTCGGAATTGACTCGACGGCGTCAGGTTGGTTGGTTGGTTTTGGGTACCAGAGAAGGGTGAGACGACTCGCTGGCAGGGAGGAGGCGGTGGTGCCGCCTGGTGATTCTAGTGTCTCTACCCTGCATCAGTTATCAGCCCAGAAACTATTTGTTGTTTACCTCTGTGCCCAGGTGTTGTTTACCTGTGTGCCCAGCAGTCGTGGCCGGGAAACCGCCAAGTCTCTGGCTTCCTCCTGCATGTGAGGGCGTCTGAAAATGGGGTCTGAGAGGACCTCTCCCCACTAGGATCAAAGCGTAATGGCAGTGCCACTCCTCGCTAGCCCTTCTCTTGCTGGCTTTGCTCAGCCTTCTGGGCTCTCTGCTGCTCCCCCTACTCTGCCCCTCCCTGCCTTTTCCTTCCTTCAACATTCATTGAGCACCTACTGTGAGCAAGACTCCTTGCTGACGTCCTTCCCGTACAAAAATGGATACAACATAGTCCCAGCCCTCTAGGAGACCATGTCTAGACCAAGCTCCCTGGATGTAGCCTCTTGCCTAATTAAGCTAAGATTTCCTTCCCTGGTACTAGACCTCTTTCCTTTGGGGTCTCTTGTGAGATCTGCCCAGATCCATCCTGAGACAGACTTCTGATGGCAGGCAAACATCCTTGCCTGTACCTTGGCATGTGGGCACCAACTCATAACTGGGATTTTGAGGAAGAGATGGAGAACCCTATAGGGTAGGGTTCGAATTTAGAGGGGATTGAGTACCCAGGTTAGTGAGGCACAGAATAAACTCCAGAAGGAATAAAAGGCATCCTCTAAAAGTGGACATTTAGGTTATTTCCAGCTGTTCGCTATTTTAAGCACTACTGGAACGTGCCGTCTTTAAACCTCAGTGCACATCCGTTATCTCCATTAGATAAATCCCTGCATGTGTGCCTGCTGACTCAAAGCATGTGTATATTTAAGGCTTAGGATCCATTGGCCCACATTTGAAGGATTTCATCTGTTTAAAACCAACCCTGTTCTCTTCTCCCAGGCCAGACCTGCTGCGATCTGAAGGTATCCCCAGTACGGAAGTGGCTCCCAATGCATCCCCTTTGTCCGGAAGCCCCAAAATGTCCACCTCAAGCAGCAAGAGCCGATATCGAAGCAAAGCACGCCACCGCCGGGGGAATAGCAGAGGCAGCCACAGTGACTTTGCAGCAATCTTGAAAAACCAGCCAGCCCAGGAGAATTCACCCCATCCCACTTGTGTACACCAAGCTCAGTCCCATTGTCATAATCCTCTGCAGCTCCAAGACCAGCAGCCCCCTCCCACCACGTCTCAGAGCCACCAGCCCAGACTCAACATGCACGGACAGGACATTGCCACCTGCGCCAACGACCTGAGGTACTTTGGCCCAGCGGCAGCCCTGCGGAGCCCACTGAGCAACCATGCTCAAAGACAGATGCCGGGCTCTAGCCCAGACCTCATCTCCACAGCCATGGCAGCAGATTGCTGGAGAAGTCCCGAGCCAGACGAGGCCTCGGGCCCCTGGGGCTGTTGTCAGGCCGACCCTTACAACCCCTGCCTCCAGTGCAGGCCGGAGCAGCGCGGGTACTTAGACACCCCCTCTGCTGAGCCAGCGGGGAGGAGCCCCGAGCTTTCCAAGTCACCAGCACACAATCCCCTCTCGGAAAACACCCAGGGTTCTGGGAAAATGGAAGACAGCGAATTCAACGGCTGTAGGTCCACGTCGTCCCTCGGCACCCCACAGCACATCACCCCCCCAGTGCTACCTCGACAAACAAGGCCCCTTCAGAAGGTAAAGTGCCGTGAGAGCAGAAGTCTGTGTCAGTGCCCTTAAGGAATGTCAGAGTCTGTCAGAGAGTGTGCATGGTACAACGGAGACAACAAGAATGCATTTTGCAAAGGGTAAAATAACAGACACACAAGTAGAAGTCTGATTACTTTCCTTCCACCCTACTTGAGAGATAAACTAGGGCATCCCCTCTGGGAAATACTGAGCCAGGGAGACTGAATCAAATGTACATAATTTATAAATAGATTTTTAAAAACCATATATTGGGGCTATGTAATTAAGAGTTTGGAAGCCACTACCCAAGAATTCTAGTCCTGAGGGATGTTGCGAGAAAGAAGGGTCCCACTGTAAAACAAGTTTGGGAAACGTAGTATTCTCTGTCCCTGCTTGGAGATTCCTAGGGCACATTAGCCCATGACAGGCTTTGCGACATCATGCAGTAAATGTGTTTAATCCAGCATTTTCCTCATTTATTTGACCATAGCACCTTTTAAAAATTACCTCTATTAATCCTCCCATGGAACGAGCTTTCTTCAGAATACACGTTGGAAAACTTCGCCTCAATCAGTAACGATCAAGAGTCAGCAAGTTGTTAATCATTGAAACTGTTTCTTGCCTCCTCTTCTGCTGTTCATTAGCTGGGCAGCAGGCTACCGTCGTGGTTAAGAACGCGAGGTTGGGAGTCGAACATACCTGAGTTCAAAGCCAGGTTCTTCCACTTACTGCCTGTATGACCTTGGGCAAATTACTTAACCCCTTTGAATGAACTCATTGGCTATTGTGAGGATTAAACGAGACAAAATATATAAAAAAGCACTTAGAACAAGGCCTGGCACATAGCAAGCTCCCAAAAAATATCAGTTTATCTTACTGATGAGTTAAAAATAAGATTACATATGAAAAGTGTTTAGCACACAGTAAACACCCACTCAGGGGTTTTCCTCCAATCATCATCAGCCATCAGGAGTTTAGTTGAAGGAATAAAAGGGACTACAATGCAAACAAATATGTTTTAGTCAACTAGACATTTAGTAGGAAAGAAGCTCAAGCTGAGAGCTCTTACAGGCATCCCCAGGTGATGAATGAGATCAGTTCCTGTGTCTTTAAGTCGAATTTGTAGGTAAGTAGGACAGGTGCGTGTGGTTCTTATTCAGCCTTACTGTAGTGCGGAAGGAGCCCTCCTAGCGCAGTGGTTAAGAGCTCAGGCTGCTAACTAAAAGGTCGGCAGTTCAAGTCCACCAGCTGCTCTTTGGAAACCCCCATGGGGGTAGTTCTACTCTGTCCTATAGACCTGTCCTATAGACCTGTCCTATAGGGTCACTATGAGTGGGAATTGACTGGAAGGCAACGGGTTTGGTTTTGGTTTAGTGCAAGAAAAGGCTCAAAGCCTTTTCAATGATTTAAAAGCTGCACGTGCAGCAAGCAAAGGTGATTGTGATGAAGAGCTTGTTGCCAGTAGGGATCGGCTCAGTCGTTTCAAAGTTAGGGCGAATTTCCATAACATTAAAGGGCAAGTTTGAGTTGTCTACAAGTGGACGTTCGTAACCCAGGGGCTGCCTGTATCTCAGAACGTATTTCTTCCTCCACATAGTGCTCTACTGACAAAGTGTTCCTAGAGATTAAATTGTCTTTTGGGTGGTACCTCGGATTGGGGCTAATCCATTCTCTACTCTCCCATCCCTGTGAACCATTACATTTAGTTTTTTCTTTTTTGTAACAGCTTTATTGAGATATAATTTACAAACCATAGAATTCACACGTTTGAAGCGTACAATTCAGTGTTCGTTTTTTTTATTGTACTTTAGATGAAGGTTTACAGAACAAACCACCTTCTCATTCAACAGTACACATATTGTTCTGAGACATTGGTTACCAACCCCACGACATGTCAACATTCTCCCTTCTCGACCTTGAGTTCCTCGTTACCAGCTTTCTTGTCCCCTCCTGCCTTCTTGTCCTTGCCCCTGGGCTGGTGTGCCCCGTTAGTCTCATTTTGTTTTTTGGGCCTGTCTCATCTTTGGTGAAGGGTGAACCTCAAGAGTGACTTCATTACTGAGCTAAAAGGGTGTCCGGGGCCATACTCTCGGGGTCGGTGTTTTTTTATATATACAGTATTCACAGAGTTGTCCAACCATCACCACAATCAATATTAGAACATTTTCATCACCCCCAAAAGAAAACCCGTACCCCTTAGCAGTCACCCCCCAAGTAACATAATTTTGAACCCAGCATCCAAGGTTGGGATGCCATCTATGGGTCTGTGTCCATACACACCTTGTACACTTGGCCTTATCAGAACCGCTCCCTCAGAGCAGGTTACCCTCTCTTCACCGAAATGTTTCCACAGGTATTCCTGTGATAAAGTGCCCATCTCAGCAGTCAGTATGACTCCATTCCTGCCTTTCCTTTCAAGAAAGTATATCAGAATACAAATGGATGGGAGAGATGATATTTTAGAATTGATTTTTGAAGAGATAAGTTAGCCTCAATCTTTGGTAAAATCACTTGTAACCAATTACCCACCTCACAAGTAGTTTGGTAAAATTACTCATAACCAATTACCTACCTCCTACGAGTGGGAGAGTAGAGAATGGATTAGCCCCAATCCACCTCACAAGAAACCATCATAATCCACTGTATCATGACACGGTGGTTGAGGACAGTTGATCTGAAATATGACTGCGCTTATGCCCTTGATGCAGGGCGGGGTCTTCTCTGTAAGGGAAGATCATCTTTTCAGAAGGGACGCTTGCCCAGGGTTCCAGATAAACCACAGGGCCCAACAATCATGGGGCCGCAGAGATTGCAGGCAGAGTTCCCACATCCCTGCTAGCACTCTAATTCAATAAAAACTTATTAAGCACTAAAACCATATGTGTACTACTGTTCCATGAGAAACTATTTGTTCTGTAAGCCTTCACCTGAAGTACAAGAAAAATAAAATAAAATAAACTTATTAAGCACCTAGTTTGTATGCCCAACCCATTCCCCATTGCCTTCCGGTCGATTCCGACTCACAGCAACCCTACAGGATGGAGTAGAACTGCCCCATAGGCTGTGATCTTTATGGAAGAAGACTGCCACATCTTCCTCCCGCATGGCGTCTGGTGGGTTCAAACCACCGAGCTTTCAGTTAGCAGTGGAGCACATAACCACCGTGTCACCAAACCAAACCCAACCCACTGTCGTCGAGTCCATTCTGACTTACAGCAACCCTATAGGACAGAGAAGAACTGCCCCATAGGGTTTCTCACACTGTAATCTTTATGGAAGCAGACTGCCACATCTTTCGCCCGAAGAGTGGCTGGTGGGTTCAAACTGCTGACCTTTCAGTTAGCAGCCAGCTGCTTAACCACTGAGCCATCAGGGCTCCTCTGTACGAGTCTTAGACAAACAAAATCTCTACTATTCAGCTTATGAAGAAATGATATGCTTAACACTGGCTAACCAAAACCAAACCCACTCCCACTGAGTTGATTCTGACTCACAGCGACCCTATAGGACAGAGTAGAACTGCCCCGTAGGGTTTCCAAGGCTGTACATCTTTACAGAAGCAGATTGCCACATTTTTCTCCCATGGAGCAGCTGGTAGGTTCCAACTGCTGACCTTTTGTATTAACCGTGGAGTGAGGGATACAATACAAATAAGACATCCTCTGATCCTTACATCATGTATGTTATAATAGTGGAGATGACACAAAGCATAATAACTATAATCCCAAACCAAACCCACCGCCGGCGAGTCAATTCCGACTCATAGCGACCCTAGAGGACAGAGTAGAACTGCCCCATAGGGTTTCCAAGGAGCGGCTGGTATATTCGAACTGCCGACCTTTTGGTTAGCGCAACGCTCTTAACCACTGAGCCACCAGGGCTCCTAATAACTAACTATTAGTGAAAAAATGATGGTGCAAAGAACAGGGAGAAAGTAATTGTTGGGCTTTGAAGAACTGAAAGAGCACTTCTTGGTGGCATCTCCATGACAGAGAGCCTGGAACGCTTAGTGATGGTAGTTACAACGGGTCCTCCCGAAACTCCCAGACCTCCTCTCCAGCTCCCCCCTCCATCGCTCACCTCTGGACGGGTTCACGGAGGCTCCCCCTCCCCAAGGCAGAGTCTTCCTCAGCTCTGTATGTCTTCTAGCTTCTAATTCAGGGCCAGTCACCATGGGCAGCCAGGAAGAGCTGCTAAGTGAATGAGTGGGGACATACATGTTTGAAGATGCCATTCAGCAAGCTACGACTAAATGCTTTGAATGATAATTCAATCCTTTGCACTGCGTGTGAGAGAGAGAGACACCACAATAAAGCCCTTTTCTCCTCGTTCTCCTCAGAGTGACGACGGCTCCTCGGAAGAGGAAGAAGGGGAAGTGGACAGTGAAGTTGAGTTTCCACGAAGACAGAGGTAAAGCCGGCCAACACCTGTCGCTGCTCTCAGTGCAGTCGGGAAACCCTGCGTTTGCCACACCTCCTGTTCCACCACAGGCCACCTTCTGACAGCCACCTCCTGGGGGAATGTGAGCTCAGTGTGGGTGTTTTCCCGCTGCCACGTTTCGGCAGCTGGGGGAACGTGAGCTCACAGTGTGGGTGTTTTCCCCCTGCCACATTTCGGCAGCTGGCTTATGCAATAGCAGATCCTAGCTCATCATCATTCATTTCACGGGAACTTCAAGATGAAGATGTAAATCCAGATTCAAGGTTACAGTTGAGAATAGAGTGGGCAGTTTGCGAGAGATGCTTATGCAGTTTTACGGGTAATTTTATAGGTTTCTAGCGCACCTCCCCATGCCTTTGTTTCAGACGTCACATCAGTACGGCCAGATGAGCTGAGTTCTCATTTTACGCAGCCTTAGCATCAACTGCCCGCTTAGCCGGGGATGATAATGTTGCTTAGGATTAAAGGGCCACCTCTACCCCCTTCTACAATAAGAGCTGCCCCTGTATGGAAGGGGGAAGGAAGTTTTCCTCCCAGGAGGCCTTTTCTGCTAACAGGTATTCGATTCTTGGAGAGTGCAGCTCTGGGAATCCTTGGGAAGGTTTGTGTACCCTCCAATAGACAGGAATTCCCTCCAACCAAGGATCCCTCGCCTTTTTGCTGTACTGTATTCTGGGTCCCCATGCTGTGCTCAGAGTTGAAATCTGCTCTCACCCCCTGATCTATTCATGCCACGTTGCTATTGCTGTCTTCTTGTCTCCTCGAACATGGTGTTCTCCCACGCAGTGAGATGGAGCTTGAGTGAAATGTGTCTTTTTGTCCCCTGAATGCGTTCTACTACCATCGCAATTGTGTTGCTTCTGGCTTCTGTTCCCGTGACACACCATGGGCTCAGCTCGCCTGAGGGCTTCCCACCTCTCCTTTCTGCTGCGATGCAAGTTAATTTAGATTTGTACCTCATGGTTTTGCTTTTTATATTACATGTCCTCCCTGTCCGCCTTTTGGATTACCAGGCTTAAGAAGTTGTGTGAGTCCGATTTTAATTTCCTTTCCCACCTGGGCTTCCTCCGTCGGGTCTCCTGATTGCCTCTTGTCCCATGTCCTTGGTTTCCCTCCTCCTTCTCTCCCTGCTTCTCTCCCTTCTTCTCCTTCTCTCTTCTCCTCTGATCCGGTCATCAGCCAGGCTCAGATCACATGCCGTCAAAAACACTTTGTACTGGGAAATACATAAAGATCAGACAATGGCAGGAAAAAAGGGGGCAATCTTCTTTTTATTGTTTGTTTTGCTTTTAACCAGTATACGCTAACAGCATTCTTATTTGCCAGGCTACGTAGAAGCCATGGGACAGGAAAAAGGTACCTTTGCAAATTCTCCCCTCAGAGGTCTCACTTCATCAGAGCTGAACCCAGAATGGTAGGTGGAATGAGCCGCCAACCAATTGGACAGTGCCCCCAGCTGCAGAGTGACTGTTCCACCCTGGATCCTTTCCGCTGGGCGTCCAGGGCTGCTATGCCCACTGGGCACTGAGAAATGCAGATGGGCTGGGGTGGAGAGGTCGGGGAAGGACACTGAGCAGGCCGCGAGCACACCTGGCCAAAGCCGCAGCTCAGCCTTCTCTGAGAGTGTGACCTTAGCAAGGGTCTTAATTATCTTGTTGTTAGGTGCCATTGAGTTGGCTCTGACTCATAGCGACCGTGTGTACAACAGAACGAACCACTGCCCGGTCCTGCACCATCCTCACAATCGTTATGCTTGAGCCCATTGCTGCAGCCACTGTGTCAATCCATCTCGTTGAGCGTCTTCCTCTTTTTCACTGACCCTCTACTTTACCAAGCATGATGTCCTTCTGCAAGGACTGGTCCCTCCTGATAACACGTCCAAAGTATGTGAGATGAAGTCTCACCATCCTCGCTTCTAAGGAGCACTCTGGCTGTACTTCTTCCAAGACACATTTGTTTGTTCTTCTGGCAGCCCGTGTATATTCAGTATTCTTCGCCAACACCATAATTCAAAGGCGTCAGTTCTTCTTCGGTCTTCCTTAGTCATCATCTAGCTTTCACATGGGCTTAGTTATCTGTGCTGCTATAACAGAAATACCACAAGTGGTTGATTTTAACAAACAGAAATTTATTTTCTCACAGTTAGGAGGCTAGAAGTCCGAATTCAGGGTGCTGGCCCTGGGAGAAGGTCCTCGTCTCTTTTCAGCTTCTGTTCCTTGGTTCCTTGGTGATCTTCACGTGGCCGGGACCGTCCCCCCCATTAGTGTTTCCTTCCCTGTGACTAATCTGCTCTTTTTCTATGTCGGAGGTGATTGGTTTAAGATGCACCCTACACTGAAATGGTCTCATTATCATGACAAAGAAGGTCCTACTCCCAAATGGGGTCACATCCACAGGTATAGGGCTTTAGGATTTACAACACATATTTTGGGGGGGACACAATTCAATCCGTACCAGTAAGTTACTTCCCTTCTCTGGCTCCACTTTCCTGTTCTGAGAAATGAGTTAGGCCAGAGGATGTCTAAGGTCTCCTTCAGCTGTCGAATCTATGACTCAGAGTAAAGAAGCACAACCAGGTTGAATATTTCCATAGCAGACCCACATGTACACAGGGTGATAGCCCTGCTGCTTTTTTTCAAAGACCAGTGGTAGACCACTCCGTCGGCTTTGGAGTGGAGTATTTAGCCCCACAAATATATAAACCAAATAAAAAGGGGGCTTCAAATTTCCCTCCCTAGTGCTTTAAAATTGATGGCTTCTGCCTTCCTGAATTCGATCCTCCCTCAGGGAAAGGAAAAACAAAACCAGAAAAACTAGATGACTTCTCCCCAAGGCTGCGACTGACAGCTGAGGCAGGGAGTCGTCCTCGTGATTCAGATGCCCTGGTTCTTTGTGGTTTTAGGCCCCATCGCTGTATCAGCAGCTGCCAGTCCTATTCAACCTTCAGCTCTGAGAATTTCTCTGTGTCTGACGGAGAGGAGGGAAATACCAGTGACCACTCCAACAGCCCTGATGAGCTCGCTGGTAAACCTGAAGACCACCTGGCAGAGAAGCTGGAGGACCTGCTGTCCCAGACGCCAGAGATCCCCATTGAGATTTCGTCACATTCGGATGGGCTCTCTGACAAGGAGTGTGCCGTCCGCCACGTGAAGACACAGATGTCTCTGGGCAAGCTGTGTGCAGAGGAACGTGGCTATGAGGTAGGCCTTCTCCTCCTTCTCTCAGGGCTCCTCCCTTCCCGGGGCTCTTCTGGGTTAGATCACGTTCAAAGTCCCTAGTATATCAGATATAGTAACGCCTCCATGAAGTAAGTAGAGGTATAAAGATCAACAGAAAAAAAAAAAAAAAACCACCCCCGCTGCCGTCAAGTTGATTCCGACTCAGTGACCCTAAAGGACAGGGTAGAACTGCCACATAGGGTTTCCAAGGAGTGCCTGGTGGATTTGAACTGCTGACCTTCTGGTTAGCAGCCATAGCTGTTAACCATTCCTCTACCAGGGTTTCCAAGATCAACAGAGCTCCCAGAAATGAGGCAGTTTCTCCTCAGTGAGGCACAAACCTTGAGCTGCTCGGAAACCCTTCATTTCAGGATGTAACTCAAACATCACCCCCTCCCAGCCGCATCTCCCAACCTAGTTAAGGGTGTGATGCTTCCCCCTCTGTGTCCCCGCTCCCCCCGGACTCTGCTAGCCTAGTGCACGTACCGCTTTAGTTTTTATACAGCACCGCCTTTTGGAGGGGCCGTGGTGGCTCCGTGGTAGACTTCTCACCGTCTATGCAGGAGACCTGGGTTCAATTCCTGGCCTGTGCACCTCAGCACAGCCACCACCTGCCTGTCGGTAGAGGCTTGGATGTTGCTATGATGCAGAACAGGGTTCAGTGGAGCTTCCAATCTAAGACACATTCAGAAGAAAGGCCTGGCAATCTACTTCCAGAAAATGAGATAATGAAAACCCTGTGGATCAGACTGGGGAGCCCCCAAGTCTAATGGCCGGAACAATGCTCACTGGAGCTGATGTGACGCAGTGCGGTGACTCATGGTGTCACCCCCTCCCACGGGCCTCCTCCCATACCAGACCATACAGAATCCTTAGCAGTGTTTTTGTACTAACGTCACTCATAAATCATAATTCCCGTATATCACGGACTAGAATGGCAAGAGTAGCAACATAAACAACTAGGAAAATTCAAATTACACCTTAAATTACAATATCATAGGCACAGCCTGAATGTATTGACATTTACACTGTTTCCATGTGGTTAAAGGGAAAATACAGTAAGAAAACAATAGAATTCGAAGTAAAAACATTTAAGAACTACATCAAAGGTACGTTCATTTTAACATTAAACTTTACATGAGATGCATGAATGGATTAGGTTTGCATCATCAATAACGGCCCAAATCATGTAGACGTAATAGACAAATGCATATGGAAATATATTCATAAATGAAATAATACCATAAAAATAAACAGGAACAAATACACAAGCATTTCAGCAGCTAGTGACCGTCTCGACTATCTCAGAACTTTCCTTTCCTGGCGCGCAAAGCTGCGAACGGTGAGTGACTTCATCGAAATCAATTCCTTTCACCAACTCACTTTTTGGCATGTCACTGTCTTTTTAAGCCATTATTCAAAGTAAACCCCTGAAAATTTCATTAAAGTCGGTATATATGTGCAAGACAGTGATGTTTTTCAAAAAAAATTTTTCTAAAGACTAAGATGTTTTAAGACTGACTTCAAGATTTAAGTTGTATTTCTAAACATGTATCAAGAAACATAGCATTTCCCCCACTTCTTGTTTTAAACTGTCAATTTCTCTGTTTAGTTTCAAAGAGTTAGTCAATGATTGTTATACATGTAAGTTTATTATCAATTTTAATCATAGAATAATATGTGATAACTATAGTTGTAAATTGCTTAAATGTAATATTTCTTAGATTACATGAATATTAACAACAAAATTGTTTTGTAAGCTCGTTCTACACTGAATTACAACGTTATTAGTTACAACATTATTAGTAACTAAGCCGAAGCCTTTTTTTGATTTTTCTCTTTTTTTCCTTTAATTACTACTCCATTCTCAAAACAGTTTCTGATGTAGGTCCACAAATACTAATTACCACAATATGGTAGCTAAAACACCAAAAAAAATTGACAAAATCAGTGACTATAAAAACACCAGCAGCAAAGAAAACAACAGCGTGTGCTTGTAGCTCTTGGGCAGACAAAACCACGTGATTCGAAGCGTCATTGTGATTGGCTAATAATGACAGCTCTGACCAGAGGGCATTAGAAGGTTCCAAAAGTAAATTAGCATAGCGTTTTAGCCTTGTAGGTATAGTGATACGGTAAGCTGGGCTTACGAAAAAGATTTTTTTTTTGTTATAACTAACTATAGGGATATTTTTATAAAAAATAATAAGTTTCTGCTGAAACACCACACAGAAATTTTCTAGACAGTCATTTTGGTGTCACCCCCTCTGATAGTGTCACTCGGTGCGGTCTGCACCCCCTGCACCCACCTCGTGACGCCACTGGCCCAGAAAGCATCTTTAAACCTTAAACCAAAACTATCCCATGAAGCTGTTGTTAAACTAAACAACAGTTGAGCCCAATTCATAAAGAACGTTTGCCTCGAGCGTAGCACTTCTGTAAAGCATTCTCTACATGAGTGTAAACTGACAGCAGTTAATCTAAAGCACAGGTGAGAACTTTCGGGGACAGAGAGCCTGAATCAGCGGTGGTGAAACAGTGTGGGCAGAGACAGTGAGAATGGCCACACAGTGGGAAGTGTGTAACCAACGTCATTCAACTGCTTATGGAGAAATTGTGAATGGATGTATGTTTGGCTGTGTAGATTGCCTCCAAAAACAAAATAAAATATGTAAAAAAAGAAACCACCAACAACCCTATGGATCAGAATGGTCTGATCCCGTTGTGCACGGGGGTCGCCACGAGTCAGAGGCCGACTTGAGAGCAGCCAACAGCTACACCGCCTTCTGAGAGGCAGAATAACATAGTGGGTGAAAGCGTGTACCCCGGAATCACACTGCCCAGGTTAAAATCCCAGCCTTTCCACTTGCTTGATGTGTGACTGTGGGCATGCCACGTAACCTCTCTGTAGATCAGTTTCCTTATCTCTAAAATGAGTATGATAACAGCATCTCCCTCATATGGTTATGGTGAGGATTAGATGGGTTAAAAGGCATTAAAACACGCAAAACAACACCTGGCACGTAGTAAGCACCATACAAGTGGGGGTTGGCTGTATTGTTACCATTGTCACCTCAACCTCAGCTTTTATGTCTTCTTTCTCCACAAGCCCCACAAGGACAGGCCCTAGTCTCATTTTTTTTTTTTTTGTACTCCCTTACCCAGTACAGGGCCTGTCATGTGAGAGGTGTCCAATACATGTTTACTGAGTGATTGTAGAAATGAACTGAGGTTTGATTTTTTTTTTCAGCCGTCTCTCTCTCTCTTTCTCTCTCTCTCTAATTGTTCTTTAGGTGAAAGTTTACAGAGCAAATTAGTTTCTCATTAAACAACTAATACATATACTGTTTTGTGATATTGGTTGCCAGCCCCACAACATGTCCACACTCTCCCCTTCTCGACCTTGGGTTCCCCATTTCCATTCGTCCAGCTTTCCTGTCCCCCCCCTGCCTTCTCGTCCTTGCCCCTGGGTGGTGTGCCCATTTAGTCTTGGGTACATGGTTGAGCTACATGCATTGTTGTTTGTTTTATGGGCCTGTCTAATCTTTCGCTGAAGGGGAACTCAGGTTTGATTTTGTCTCGACTTTGCAGAATCCTATGCAGTTTGAAGAATCGGACTGTGAGTCTTCCGATGGTGAGTGTTCTGATGCCACAGTCAGGACCAACAAACACTACAGCTCTGCTACGTGGTAATGAAGGAACCCCCGCCCTGGAGAGCACAGACTGTACCGCATTTCAAGTCCACCCACCCCTAGACTCTCCCCACTCTCTCCCTGCTTTTTTGGCTGGAGGGAGAGTTGCCCCATCTTTACTACCCCTAGAAGCAAGCTGCAATAACAGGGACATGAGACTTCACAAATCTCTGGAAAAAAAACAAAAATCCAAATGAAATTAAGTCTCACTGAACATTTCAATCAAGAACGGCAGGGATCTATTTTGTTGAATATTCTAGCTACTGTAACATTGGTATTTATTTTTGTTTGACATTTTAACACTTTGTACTGTAAAGAGTGAACTATATATGATATATAAAGAGAGAGAGACACCATAATGCATTGCAAAAAAAGAAGAAGAAGGAAAGAAAGATGGATGGAATTTAGGAGCGACATCCTTGGGAATCTGTGGGCCAAGAAGTATTATTGCTGCTTGAACAGGGACCAGGTCTTTGGGCCATGAGTGACTGAGGAAGATCCAGGGCAAGACAGACTGAGCATTCTAGAAAATAGGGAACAGCAAAAGAAAAGCAATTCCAGGTAACTTGTGAACAAACCACATTAAGTTCAACCAGCTTGTCCAGATGGGTGATGGAAATGACCTGGGAAAATCTGGCAGCCAGGTTCTCACACCTCAGGTCTTTAAGGTCACGGCCTTCCTCTAGGGGGAGAAAAGAAACTGTACACGTGGAAGCCGTCATTTGTTAAATTTTAAGCAGCATTTGGTAACAGGACTTACAGTGAGCGGTAAAGGTAAACCTTGTCCTTGGCAAACACTTCCCTTTTGAATGCTGTCATTGTTGTGACCTTGACAGATGTGTGACCTTGACCAATGTGTTGACTTTTCAGATTCCAGCGCCATTTTCTTGTAGCTTACTTCCTTTCCACCTGCTGACCACTTCCTTTAGGGATAAAGGGGGAGGAGGAGAAGAGAAAAAATCTGCAACAGTGTTAGAGGAGCAAATGTGGACTTTGTCCAAGTACCTTCTCAGAAGGTCTCTGTTGAGCTGCGTGGAGATGGCATCACCCCTGTCTGGAACCAGGTTGCTGCCTCCCACGGTCCCTGATTCCAACAGGAGGACAGACCTTGAAGGCAGCTAGGTGTGTGCGAGCCTGTCCAGTGTCCAATCGCAGATCATCCCCGTTGGTTTTATTTGTTAACTCTTTCTGTCCTAAATGGCGCAGAGAAGAGAGGCAAAGTAAGCAACTTGCATAAGGCAGCCTCTCTCCTGCCACAGCAGCATTTGGGCAAATGCTATTTTTAAAAGGTATTTTACTTCATTTTGGATCACTAGACTCTGCAGTGTGCAGCAGTGCCATTTTGAGTAATTGGATTTGGAAGTTAGTGGGAAGAACAGCGGATGCTGAGCAGCGATTAGTAAGATTTTGCATTGTCAAAGGCACACGGTCCTGCCGGTCTCTGGTATCACCGGCTCTCGGAGGGTGCGTACTTCGCGGCGCCCTGGCTTTTAAACGAAATTTTTATCTAGAATTTTATATACAAACAGGTGTTAGCCCAGTTCCAGCCTCTGTCTCTCCCAGGTAGGCAGGTCGATGTCAGACAGCCTCTCTAGGGTCAGGACCCGACAGAGACCGCCAGCCTCCTGCGTATTAGCCTCGTTTCCCATGGGGAAGGAGCCGAGCATGCAGGCAGTAAACAATTCCCAATGAGATGGAAATGTTGGCCCTCCTCCGGGCTTCATGGATTGCATCCGCCAAAAAGGGAGAAGGCAGGAGGGAGTTTAAAGCATTGTTTGAGCCCCCCCACTCGTTTACACTTTATGTCGAGATGTTGATTTTGTAATTTGGTGTCTATAATTTATAGCTCTTAGCTAGGATGAAGGGAAATGTTTAACTTATACAGAGAGCAGTATTGTTTGCGTTAAATTATTCCATTTTATATAAATTCTGTAGCTGGACTACATGGAAGATCTTAAGTTATGGCGTTGTTATCATTGTTATTTTATAATAATTATCACCATTCTCATTTTCTGTCGATCAGAAGGGGTGGTTTACAGTGTAGCACAATGATTGTGTTTATTGCTAACCAGGAAAGACGTGATTTTCATGAAGAAATGGAAAATGGAACTGCCATTGGGGACCTCCCTGCACCATTGGGGACCTCCCTGCGCCTCTGGGGACCTCCCTGGTGTTCGTTTTAGTTGTATTCCCTGCTTCTCTGTGCGCAGCCATGATCTTTGGAGGGTATGTGCTCGGCCTTGCGGCCCAGCGTGTACATTGGGATGTGGACTTGATCATAAAAGCTCCTGGGAGGGAGGTGACTGAGTGAATGGACAAATAGTTTAAAAGCTGTAAACCTTCTCACATTTCTTAAGAAATAAAATCATGGGACTACATTAGAAGCAGAAAGAGAATCATTGAACGCCCTGCAAGCAACAGCTCTCCAGCGTTTGCGCATGAGTCACACAGGTTAGTGTCAAGAATTGGCAGCATAGTGTGTAATCTCTTTCCAGCCAGGTCCCACAAAACTGGCTTTTTTTTTTTCTCCCAGTTTGGCATAGAAAGGAGACTAAATGAGGAAGAACCACACGTCGAGGTATCACATAAAATGCCTAGCTGTGATGCCATCCCATAACAAGACTAGGGAAAGTCTAGAAGGAGGCCCAGTCCCCTGGAGGATTGTAGGGCTGGAAAGTACCTTGAAAGGCCATGTTTTCCCTCCTCTGTCTTCAGACCACATTGTACTGTGACTCTCTGGTTCATTTCTCCTAGACAGGGATGATTACCTAATAAGCAAGGTACGCATGGGCTTACTTGTGCTTACTTACTAATCCGTAGTGCACAATTTCACATCTTTGATGTGGTGGAGCCCATGTGAAATTGTGCACTACAGATTAATAAGTAAACACAAACCCATACATACCTCGCTTACTGTAAGCCCGTGTCTACCTTGCTTACTGGTTAATCCGCCTCTGCTTCTAGAGATGAAGACGCTACAACCCGTGTCCTTTCTGTCCAGCATAAGACATGGACACCAGTTTGTCCAGTTCTTGCCCATCTTCAGTGGTGGGAGGAAACATGAGGGTATTTATCACACCGTTCACCTGATAACCTCAGAATTTCGATCAGATTTTCCAATTCCCATCTTGGCTGTCTGTCACGATAACGCCAGACACCTTATCTGGATTAACTGTCATGAGCATGTTAGGGTGGTAGAGAATGGTGAGCCTTCAGTCACTCACTGTACAGTCAAGAGTTGAATAAAGTCCCATATCGAGTGTTTTCGCTTTGGGGGGTGATATTTAAAAAGGGAAATACCTCCTCTATCCTAACCTTCACTGCCCACCTTGTGAAAACCAGGGAAATCATGAATTGATGTGTATTTCTTTGAGAACAACTCCACGGTCATCTGAAAAGTGTTGAATCAAGAGCTCAGGGAATTTGACAGCTAATTCTTCAGTTCTGACAGTCGTTCAACAGTGCTTCGAGGACCCTCACAGAACTGTGATTTCAAGCCTCCTCGCTGATAAATGTCCCCATTCATTTAGCATCTATCTTTGACTACAAGATAATGAGTTGTAACTTGTGTTGCAGGGGACCGTTGAGTTCTGATGTTCATCTATTTCTAGATCGCATTCTCTGAATGACAATTCCTCTTAAAATGGCTTCGCAGAGAGACAGAGAAGCCTGCACCCACTTTGAAATTATAATGGACCTCACCACCACTAAAGTCTACTCCTGTTGCAAGGTCATGGGGCGCTCAAGCTTTGGCCTGCTCAGAAAGGTGAAGATATGAGTTCTGTTGTGATTCACGGTGGCCTACCTGCAGGTCAGATATTTTAAAAACTTCAGTATCAAGTCCATCCTTCTATGATTAAGGACATTTTTAGTAGGATTTAAGTACTGGACATTCATTTCAGGACCTCATTGCACTAAATGTCCCTTAAACTCACTGCCGTTGAGTCAATTATGACTCATAGTGACCCTATAGGACAGAGTAGAACTGCCCCATAGGGTTTCCAAGGAGCGGCTGGTGGGTTCGAACTGCTGACCTTTTGGTTAGCAGCCGTGGCTCTTAACCACTATGCCACCAAGGATCCAATTTCTCCTATTTACCCTAAAGTAGACTGGGCGATTTTTGGTTTTCCTGGTACCAACCCAGACTAATTCATACATACGCTCCCCCATGAAGCACTGACCTCCTGGCAGTGGGAATGCCTCCTTGATTAAATGATGTACTCCCCTTTTTTCCCATGCTTACATCCCAATTATTGTCCCTTTTCTTAAAACATTCCTACTTGAACTTCCTAGAACTGAATTCTCCAGAATAGGACATATTTAGAATCTAAGGAATTCCTTCCTTACCGAGTATGGTGTGCTGTAGTCTGTTTTGCTTTTTCCACTAAGCCAAAATACTACCACGGTTTAGTGCCTTTCCAGGCAGCAAGATTTTTCTTCTTGGCTGACTTCGTAGACTAGATGCCCGAGTTATACTCACACCATCAATGTTAACAACCTCGTAGCCTGGCATGTAAGAATCACGTTAGTCTACTAGTTTGCATGTTCCCAACTGATACTGCAAAGGTCTGTTCAACCTGGAATGAACAAGGCTGCCAAGCAGAGGACCCTTGTGGGACCTCGGACACTTCTCAGGGATAGGTGGCAGGAGACAGGAGCTCTGATCACTGCTCTACTAACAGGGTTACCCCAGAGGAGCTGGGTTAAGGCTTCTGGTAGTGGTTCCATGCCCAGTGTGTCACGGCATTGATTTTAGCCAAGCCCTAAACAGACAGGAAAGCTGCTGGCAGAATGCCAGGCCTCCTCTTTAGAGCCACTTCACACCACTCAGGGGAATGCTGGCTCCTGGCCCCAGGCTGCTGTCCAGGCGGACAGGGTCTTCCAATGGTTCAGGCCGGAATGTACGAGCTATTAGGACAATGTCCCTCATCAACCACATCTCCTGGGTGGCTCTCCACCGCCAGAGTGACCACTTCCTAGGCTCTGGAAGTGGAAAGACCCACTTTGACTCTTGACTGCAAAGCTTGAGTTCCCATCAATGTGGTGCAAATACATTTCTTTCTGGTGGTTAAGTGTGAACGTGAACACACCGTCTGTGTCCCCCGCGGTCTCCTGCCCTATGTTGCTTTCTGACGCTGGCTCCCTGTCTGTGCTGAAAAACATTGTGCGCCAACGGGAACAAGAACGCCTGTCAAGGCAAACAGATGCATGGCATTAAACAAAAAGCGTTACTTCATTCTTTTCTGGTCCTGTCTTTTCCTGAAGGTACTGTTTGTGTCCTGGGAGCCGCAGTGACAAGTAGCGGACTCTCAGAATCTGTCAGAACTTTAGGGGAGGAAGACTTTACCTGACTGGGGTTCGTGCAGCCAGCAGACAGGTGATGGGGGAAGCTGGTTTCTGTGGCTCCTTTGCTTCAGACACAACCACGAAGGAAGAGACTCGTTGTCTTGTTATAGTCTCTTCGCGATCATTCTGTCATAACCCACACGGACCTTCCGTTCTCTCCTGTGGCTTTCCTGCTGCCCATCTCGTAGCTGTTCCTCCCTTGTTAGCGAGCCCCACGATACGTGAGCATCGAGAGGAAAAAGACAAACACGAAAGCCTGGTTTCCAGCGTGTAATGCTGTTAAGAAGCCTACTGAGAGTAGAAAGCTAAGACAACACTGTCTGATTTTCAACCCATCCTAATTCCTGCTGGCGAGGGCAGGTGAAATTAGCAACATGTACAAGCAAGCACCACACAGAACATTTATATCCGTTTATTTGGGAAACTGGCCGCCTATAAACTCATAACTGATAAGGCACATTGTTACAAAACTAGGGGAGGGGGAAAGTCTCAGGATCCAGGCAAAGGGCAAAGGGCAAAGGGCATGCACTTACAGAACTCCTAGGCCTCCGTCCTTCTCCCTCCGCAGAACAGAGCGCCACGAGTTCCAAGTGCAGTCTGCCCCCTCCCTACCCCTACTCGTGCTATCAAGACTTCCTTTAAAGAAACACATTTTTTAAATGAACTCTTTGGGGTGGAAGGATTACACCATGTCCAAAAAGCCCAACTTGAGCATCCATTCTTCCTACTGGACATGAGTAGTCCCAAGAATCCATGTAGAACAAGAGGCCTAGATTAAAGCTCTTGGCAAGATTCTTGGCCAACCCAAGTGGAAAACCCAGCAGGGGATGCCCGAGGGCCAGAGTGCGGCGGTGAGTTACTCCTGTAGGCTGGAGGATCCCAGAGGCGGTCAGTGAAGGCGCTAAGGCCCTAGATCTGTGCCAACTCAGCACTACAGCTGCAGAAGCGGTGGGGGCTACAGATCATACAACACCCGCAAAAATCAGAAACCAAGTGTTTCTTTCTGAATTAAGAGATAACATTATTCTTCAGCTCTCTTGGCAAATGACAAAACGAAAAACAGAGAGTGATGACTGACATCCTAGGGTGCCAAGTCCATCCCAGCAGGAGAATGCGGAAGGGACGCCCACACAGGAAGGGCAGACTGGAAAGGTAGTGATGGTCACTGAATTCAGCTGATCAAGGGCCCTGCCCCATCCCGATGGGTAAGAGTTCCTCCGTAACGTACAGAGTTTGCTCCCTTCATACTGAATAGTCTGTTTGCCGTCAGCTTAACTGTCAGGACA